GGTGGGTGGGGGGACCTACTCTAGGGCTGCTTCTCACAATGCTCCTAGGAAGCAAGCTAGTTAATGAGGTTTCCCAATAACGAGCCAGAATGTGTAGGATTATTGTAGACAAGGAGCGGGAAGTCCTGGGCCGAAATCTAACTAGTCTCGGGGTTGGGAAGATATACTTAAAACCACCCTAGGAGATCCTGGGTATAAGGCATTGCTCGAGACTTTGGGGAGGCAAAGAATGAGCTCTTTCCCCCCATACTTCCTGATGTCATCTCCTTTGCACTGGGTCTGCCAAGGGGGCCATCTCCAATCCTGCTCTTTCCCTCCAGTTCCGGGCTTGCATGATGGAGATGGTGTGTGGGAAATCCATGACAGATGAGTCTGACATGTCCAGCTCCCAGAAAACAGAAGTTTCTGCTGTCTCTTCTAGCCAAGTTGGCCCCAACTAAGGTGCCATTTGCAGCAACTAGGATTTTACATTTAAGGAAATTTCTACTTTCTCTGCTAAGAACCAAACTGCTAACAACACAAAAAACAGACGGGAGTGATGACAATTTGGGGAATCAATTTCCCATTTTCCTATTATTCCCTTCCTGCCTCCAAAGCTACTGTGCCAGCTGGGTCCATCTCAGAACACATCAAAGGCCACTTCAGCAATCATCAGTTTCTGCTCCTAAGGCAAGAGTGGCAAGATTCGTAGCCCTTGCAGAATCCATCTCCACATACAAGGCAACTATAAAGGAGTATGGTTGAGTCTTCAGTGTATGGATAACAATTATCTTCCTTTTTTTTAAATCCTCACCCAAGGATATTTCTTCCATTTATTTTCTTTTTCTAGAGAGTGGAAGGGAAGGAGGGAGGGGGAGAGAGAGAGAAACATCGATGTGAGAGAGAGACACATCGACAGGGGCCAAGGATCGAACCTGCAAACCAAGGTATGTGCCCTTGATTGGGGATTGAAACTGCGACCCTTTGGTCCCCCAGCCAACACTCCAACCAATGAGCAAAACTAGCCAGGGCCAATTATCTTCCTTTTTAGTAACTTTTTTTTTCTACTGGGGATCTGTTCTGAGGTGATACATTCTGAGGAAACAACTTAGAAATTGGAGAGACATAAAGAAAAAACAAATAAAACCTTTAGTAGCCCCAAATATGAGTTTGAAATAATTTCTTTATGCTATAGAGTATATGCCAATCATCACTATAGCTCTGGCAGGAACAGCCATGTTTATAAGCCCGAGCCAGTATGAATTATTCCAGGTGTTTCCTTTCCCTCTCCCCTCCCATTTGGCTGAACCTATATATTTGTCTTAAGAGGTATATTTACTAAAGTCAAGTTTAATTCAGTTTATGTTCTAAAAATACAATTGCACATTTTTAAAAAACGTTTTTACTGATTTCAGAAAGGGAGAAACATCAATGATGAGAGTCACTGATCGGCTGCCTCCTGCCCGCCCCCTGCTGGGGATCAAGCCTGTAACATGGGCATGTGCCCTGATCAGAATTGAACCATGATCTCCTGGTTACTGGGCTGACACTCAACCACTGAACCACACCAACCAGGCTAAAATTGCACCAAAATGTTCAAAAAACTTTTATATTTTATACTACTCTTCACATGAAAAAGAGCCTTTTTGAAATAAAAATCAAGATAAATGTGTGTAGATTCAGGAATGGCTTGAGTTTGATCAGATAACTATGTAATGGGAAGAGAGCAGGATTACAGCTATAGTGAGGATGCTGGATTTTAGGAAGAAGAGTAACCAATTTGGAAGAAGGCAGTAACTTCTTTAGTTGAGGGGTACGTCAACTTTCCAGGAGAGCTTTTTTCTGTGACATTTTATAGCACTCATAATTCTGTGCAAAGCATTCTATTTCTTAAGAGAATAAGGGCGGGTGGGTGGAGGGGGAGAGTAACCAAAGAATTATATACATATACGCACAACCCAAGGACAGAGACAATGGTAGGGAGAGGGACTTGGGAGGGGGATGGGACGGGGTGGAATGGGTCATTGGGGAGAAAAAGGGACATCTGTAATATTTTAAACAAAAATAAAATTTAAAAAAAAAAAAGAGAATAAAGGCCACACATACCCCACAATGAATGTAAACAGTTTTATTTAGAAACAGATAGGTACCTGTTTGCATTATAGAATATAAAACTTGGTTTACACTCTATAAAAAATAATCAATATCCAAATTCAAGAGAGCTAGCATTCACAGGACACACAATATGGGTGTGCAGCTACTGTCCATCAGTGCCAGGCTTTAAACCAAAAAAATAATCCAGGGGGATTAGAGATTAGAGTACAATGTTTGCTGCTTAGCACCCAGCATCCAGGTGCTGTCTCGGCAGATGAAGGTTTGCTTTCTAAGTGTGACTTTAACGTAAGGCCTGGGTTCTCTTCCCTTAGAGAGCTATGAGGCTCTCCTGCCAGTCATGATGTGCTCTAACTAAGCCAGGGTTGGTGGCATTGATTAGTTATCTCTGGTCTTAACAATAAAAAGTGGGGAATCTGGAGGGCAGAGAATTTCCATGCCCCCTATGCTGGGATTAAACTTAAAAGAGTGTACCCACTCTCAAGAGCTCAATAAAAGGCTGGGGTGAAGTTACATGATATCTGGCTTTTCACCAGCCCAAGTAGCCCACCTCAACATGATCGTGGAAGACCAAAGAACACACCTAAGTTCAGGTTATAATAATCACCCAGCACCACCCGAATATTATCCAGAAAGATATATGAAATAATAAAGGTTAGATATATATATATATTTATCTTAGTAACCTGAGGGCTAAAAACTTGGAATATAATAAACTCTCTCAAAAGAGGTCCATCTGTAAGAAAGGGACCAAAAAGACAGTTTGTGTTATGTAAAATAGGAGTAAAGTGAGTTGGGAACAGAGGACGGTTTCTTCAGCTCTTTCTACAATGTCCCTCTCTTTGATAAGGATTGGCAATCTGTTGATCCAAGATAAACTTTTAGTTTGGCAGTGGGAAAAGGGGCCTGTGGGTGCGGTACTACTGAGTGACAGGTCAAAGGCAGGAAGGGTAAGCAATGGTCCTCAAACCAAAGAGCCCTCTCTGTAGGCCCTCTCATCTTTGAGTCTGAGCTCAAGCTCTCCAGCTGACACAGAAACAGGCCTGGTAGTAAGTGGTTAGCATTCTGAGGTATGAGGATCCCTGGTAAATTCAGCAGCATGTGGTTTTTGGAAACCAGCCCACAAAATAAAAACACTGCAACTGAGCTCCTAACTAATACTGCTATTTAACCACTGTCTAAAAGAGAAGAAAAAAAAGTTCCCCACTACATTGGGAGGTCCTAAGCTTTCATATAAGGTGGTCCAAATAATCTCTTTATCTTAGTGTTTAAGAGAATCCTTATTCAGTGATCATTTCTCTTGTTAAAAGGCACTTTCAGTGACATGATTGGAAAGCACCACATTTTAACCGCAGTGAAAGCAAAATTAATTCCTGGGAACATCTGGGAAAATAGGAGCCAAATGAGGCACTTACACTGATTCAATAGGCAAGACAGTCTAGAGAACTTCAACAGATGCACACCCAGAAAAAAAGTGTGTGCCCTGAAAACACTTGTAGTTTTCCAGCTGTTTCTATGTATAGCTCTGTAAAAAGATCACACTCACTACTTGATTTTCAGGGCACTGGCCCTAACTCTTCCTACCACAGCTGTGCTTGACAAAATTAGCAAACAGCTAGTCCTACAGAGGGAAGGAAAAAAAAAAAAAAGGATGAATGAAATCAAGTTGAGCCAAGCTTTCTTACAGCACAGGAATCTGTCCTTGCCCCAATAATGCCAGGATCAGTTGCTGGAACTGTAGTAACTGAATAAAATATATGGCCCCTACTACTGATGAAATAACCTTTTCAATAGGCAAGATAATTATTTTTCTAAATATAAACTGTGGGGTATATTTTTTCTTTTTTCTCTCTTCCAAACATTTCTTATTGATCTCAGGCTTAAAAAATTAGGTAAGTCAGAATTATAAAAATTACATGGTAAGGGTTGAGAAAGAGTGAAGGGCTAATTTTTGCCTATAAGTATGAGTTGAGGATCTTGATCCTTCATATCATACTCCCAACCAAAGAACAAATACAAAAATAAACACCATGTTATACATAATACAAAGTGTAAATCTACAAACACAAGTGTACTAATTAGTTGTTCCTCAGAGGCATGGTTTTCCTCCAGTCCCTCAGAGAGGAGAAGGAATGGGGATGGGATGGTTTTCGTTATGTTTTTTCACGTCTTAAAAAGTTTGTAATAACAGTCTCAGTAGCGCAAACAATTTCATGTGAATCCAGAAGCTGTAAAAATAAATTATTTTTGAAGAAACGTGGGTTCCTCTGTCTGCAGCTCAGAACTCATCATGTCGTACTAAGGCCTCACCAAAATCTGTGGCCTGGCTGCCCACAAATAAATCATACTTGTCAACAATCTCCTCCTTTGTAAGCTTGCCATCCTGAAATTAGAGAAGAGTGAATTGAGGTAAATATATTTCCCATTCCAAATTTAGAAATACTGCTATAGAACAATCAATAGTGGTTTGGCAAGATTTAAAACTCTAGCTGCCAATAAATGAAATGTGAACTCTACCCCCCCACCCCTGGCCTGTACACACACACACACACACACACAAATAATAGCAATTGATACCTTTTTCTTATCAAGAAAGTTAAAAGTGGAAGGCTAGTAATAATATAGCTCAATAACTAAATGCTAGAGATATAGGTTTTTAAAAAATATATATATCTTTATTGATTTCAGAGAGAGGAAAGGAGAGGGGGAGAGAGAGATAGAAACATCAATGATGAGAGAGTCATTGATCGGCTGCCTCCTGCAGGCCCCCGACTGGGGATCAA